CCCCCCCCCCCCCACAACGGAAGGGAGGAACCGCCCCAAAAGGAGAATCCCAAAAAAAAGGGAATCCTTGAAAAAAAGGAGGAAATCCCAAAATTACCCACTCCCCCCCCAAAAAAGGGGGACCACCCTAAAAGTGACCCCCAGAAAAGGGAGAACCCCCAAAGAAAGGGAACCCCCCTAAAAAAAGGAGGAACACCCCAAAAAAGGGAATCCCGCCCAAAAAGAACCGTCCCCAAAAAAGGAGGAACCCCCCCAAAAGTGACCCGCAGAAAAAGGGGACCCCCAGAAAAGGGGAACCGCCCCAAAAAGGGGGATCCCCAAAAAAGGAGGAACCGCCCCAAAAGTGAAATTCCCCAAAGGGTGGGACCCGCCAAAAGGGGGTTTGGGGATAGAGACCCCCCCCAAAGTGATGTTCAAGATTCCCCCCAAAATCGGGCTGCGGGATGGGAGCCCCCAAATTTGGGGACAGAATTGATTCCCCCCAAAATGAGGGATAGAGATCCCCCCAAAATGGGGGTGCAGGATGGAGCCCCCCCAAAGCGGGATAGCGGGGCCCCCGTTACCGGGGAAGGGAGGGGCACCCCAAAGCGGGAATTGGGGATGGGGTTCCCCCTTTTTGGGGTGCGGGAGCGACCCCCAGAACACAGTGACCCTCTCCGGTACCGGGGCCAGGCGGGGGTGCCCCAAGGCGGGATTTGGGGTTCCCCCTTTTTGGGGTGTGGGAGAGACCCCCTAGAACAGAGTGACCCCCCCCCAAACCGGGATTTAGACCCCAAAACGAGATTTGGGGATGGGGCTCCCTCTTTTCGGGGTGCAGGAGCGACCCCCACAACAGAGCGACCCATCCCGGTACCGGGGGTGCCCCAAAGCGGGATTTAGATGGCAAAGCGGGATTTGGGGCCGGGGCTCGCCGTTTTTGGGGCTCGGGGGGGGGGTCCCCGGTTGGCGGCTCTCACTCACCGTGCGGGGCTGCTCTGGGTGCCGGTGTCGATGGCGCTGCGGGCAGTGCCGGGGCGCGGCCCGGCCCGGGATAGGCACGGCGGGGGCGGGCCGGACCGGGGGGCGCGGGGAGGGGGAGGACACGGGGCGGTCACCGTGACTCACCGGGACCGCCC